CGCTACGGAGTTTGCGAAAATTTGCTCTCCAGTTTCCTATATTTCAGGCTATTCCACGTTAATCTAAAAACGTCTGAGCCCAGAGCTCTACCCAACCAAGCAATCCAGAAGAGTCCACCGAAAATGTAAAATACGTGTGTTTGCAACGGTTACCGTAGTCTGCGGAATGAACACCAATGCACAGAAAAACGATCCCCGTGCGGAAGCTTTATTGTGGCATTTTTAAAGGAAACTATGAATGTTGAAGATCTGGCATCTGCTGATCGATCATTTTGTGTCCCTACGGCTGTTTGTTCTAATTGGACAATTTTTCAGAAAACGAGTGCAAGCCTTAGATGTTATTTGGAAGAATGCTCGGTGTCTAGCAAGTGCTTCGTAATGCAGCAGCTGTATAATTGGCTTTGCCGGAAATGACTGCCTCGCTATTCATTCTGCATATTTGCACAAACAAGTCCATGGAGGGCCTGGCTATATATTTCGTTCGGCTTTCATGGTTCACAGGCAATGGAGGAGGTCAGCTGGGCACCAGGAGTTCTCATGCCAACGATAAGTCCCAGCGCTTTTGTAGAATGCGTGCCTTCGCCTATGAATACGAGAAGATTTGGCCAGAGTGTTCGCCGAACGGTACGCTGGTGTATGCCTATCACAGCCCTGGACTCCATGACCTCATTGTTCCCCCTCAGATAAGCCGTTATCTCAGTAAACGAACATAATTTATCCTCTCAGTAAATGTAAGCGGACATTCAAAAGAAGCATTTTTAATTAGAAAGGATTTTTTAGGTACGATTGGGTACTGAACGAGATTACCAAAAATACGTAGGAGGCTTGTGTTTGCCGGTAAGCTTATTTTGTCGTACGATTTCTTACGGGGCTAGTAAGTGTTGTGAAGCAATCAGTAACCGCGTTCTCCCATATCTACTATCGTACAGTATAATCCCAGTGTATTTCGATCGCGCCGTAATGTCGACTTTCGAAATAGCTTATTTCTGACCACCTACAGAACCCATACTATGTAAGTAATTACTACATCGACTTCCCATACCCGCATAAATTAAAACAATGATCGCCCACGGGAATATGCACCGCCCGCAATGCGCCGGGACACGCGCTAAATTCCATCAGCGTACCTAATCACGTGTCCTAATCCTTACGCTTCTAGTTCGAACACGACACCCAACCCATATTTGTAATCGTGAGCCGCCTACCCATCAGCCTAAGCCCCCTGGAATCTAGGGCAGTCGTCTGTATTAAAGGTGGGGGGGGGGGTTTATATTTCCGTGCAGAGCCTTGAACATATTTTATAGGTGTTGCAGAGAGGGAAAATTGCGCAGAGCCACGGCCTATGGCGGGACGACGAATATTGAGATTTAAAAAAAATTGGACTGAAGGATATCTTTTATCCAGTGATGGCCCAATCATTGTTCGTACGGCGGTTCGCTTTAATAGCAAAATTCTAGAAAATTCGAAGCTTAGATTTTATTTTAAAGAGTGAGTGACCGATCTCATGAAATGCACAGCCTTAAACATATTTTATAAAAGTGTTGCCTTAAATGGATACTGGATGAGACTGACTTATGCGGCAATAAACAATTCGTGCGCGGACTGACGAGCTATCATCATCCTAATTACGACCCCCAGCGATGGTCACGAGAGCTGTCAATTATAGCACGCGTGTGGCCCCACGACAGCTACGAACCATAAATGCTGCACTTTTTGTGCCTAAACTATCTTTACCTGCAACCGTCTCTGATGACGGGTTCGAGCGAGAACCGGAAATGTCGGGCCAATAAACTTCTTGTTCCAGTGATCGTATCTTCTTCCTCTTCCTCTTCTTCGGAACTGCTTCCTGGAGCTCTCCTGTGCTCGTTTTCCTAACCGGATCCCTTTCGGTTCCACTTGTCGAATCATAACAAGGGCATAGACGAAATATCGTTTCTGCATGAATTTGTGAAAATAACGTCATCTTCAAACGTAATCTTGTAAGAAAAGGTATTTTTCAGCTTAAAAATTTTGCGTTTTAATATTTTTAGATCCGTGCAATGTCAGCTCAAAGCGCATCATATCTTTGCTTTTGTTAATGCTCGTTGTAAAGTATACAGGGTGGCACATTTCCATTAAAGAATTTTGTGAATCTCATACAGCGTCTAATTTATAACATAAAGGAATATATGGTTTGCGGTCGGATCTTATTTCGTAGCCGTACCTGCAATAGACAAGCTCCAGCCTAACGCCTTACCCTGACCCCAAACCTCTAACCCCTAACCCTAACCCCTAACACAAACCCCCTGCCTTAACCCCTAATCCTGACCACCAACCCCTAACTCTAACCCCCAACAGGCACGGCTACGAAATAAGATCTTGCCTGATTTGTCTTAAACGGAAATTGTGTAGGACTGACTAATGCCTCCACCTAAACAAGACATGAGAGCAGGAGCCGTCTGCAATACGGGTAACTTTGAGCCAACCTCCGGTGAAATTGGGATAAGGTTTAAGGTTGTGATTAGGGTAAAGCATGCGATTTAAGGTTAGATTTAAAGTTAGCAGTAATGTAAGTCAGGATCAAGTATGGACGTTAGGTAGGTGGCTACTGTTAACTGCAGAGTTAAGGTTTAATGTAAGAGTAGGGTCAAGTTTGGTTACCCTGAACGTACGCACAAAGGCAGGTCGGGCTCAAAAGAATTCGGAAATTGAAAGTCACCTTTTGGTTATGTTGAAATATTCCTATTTTCCAGTAAAAAGCTTATAAAGGGCGTGATTAAGTAGAAAATGCGTACAAGAAAGAGCAATTTTGTGCATTTAACTTTGTAAAATATGTTTGATACATCGAAACAAATGGCAAAAATGACGTCACCTATGTGTTAATTTTCTTACTCTGCTGAAAAGAATCGCAACCAAATAACGGCATTTTGGAGTGACAGTAGTATCTTGAGATTCTGCTTTGCGGACCATTTTCTTTCAAAATGCCTTCCAATGGTCCTCGTCGAAACGTGTCTGTCTTTGTGGACGATCGGGTGAAAGCACTGAAAGTCATGAAGTATTCAGCAACATTTCGAAGCCGATCTGAAACTCGAGGTAATCCAAAACGAAAGGAAAAGATAAATTAATTTAACTGGAGAAATGTTCTCTCTATGAACACAAAATTGTATGTTTACGATCACCCCTGTCAGTTCTATTTAAATTTATTAGGCACCGACCGGCCTCATTACATGTCACCTTATGAAAACGTTTGTTCCTACGATGTCCCAATCGGTGAAATCAAACAAATTTCAGCTTCTCTTGTTGAGTTCCATCCCATTTACTTCATGTGTGCCAAAATAACACTACTCACTAAAAAACTGTTTTGGAATCTACACCCATAATGTAGGCAGTTGACAAACCGTCATATAACAAATCTCACTACTTAGTAAACGATATTTAAATGTAAACTTCACTAAAACACTATTATTAGACGTTATTTCATGTCTACTTTCATATTTACTATGCTTTTGGTATGAGAATACATTCTATACATTAAAAACGAAGTTTGCTAAATTAGAGCCATTTATGACGTTTTCGGGATATTGCGCTTTTCAAATTAAATCAGAATTTCTAAACAACGCAACACTGCTTTTAATGTTTCTTTTATGTTTATAATTCTTTTAAACTTGTACTTAATTAACATAGACATGGGACTCATGAAATTGTGTCGGTTTGCGAGTGATTGGCAATCATTCGTAAATTTCGACACATTTCATGAGTTAGGTCACTAACTGTACGCAGCACTGATCGTCCTTGATTTCGAACGTGCCTATTTTGGATTTGGCGGAACAACATCTAGCGGGTCATTCAAGTATAGCATCCTCGCCCCAAACACAAACAAAAATGTCACAGGCAGCTTTAGCCGCCATTGCGGTAGAAGCAAGCAGGTGTAGGAAAACGCCATATTTTCCCAACCGGATGCTTTGTGATGCAGGCCTAAAAAGTAGGAAATACTGAATATTAAACGACAACGGTGAGAGTGGTCTTGTGGGGTAGAAACTGTTTTCAATCAGCGTGCGACAAGTCGGGCAAAAAAACGAAGTATCGGGAAGGGTGTATTCAAAAATTCACAAGGACAAGCTGGACAAGAGCACATTTTGTTGTTGGCATAGATTGAGCCAGATTGTTTTACCGAAAAGCACCACAAAGGTAGCTATTGCAAGCGTCACCTGGCAAAACAGTTGAAGCCAAGGCCGCTGCCGAAACAGTGCTTTGTTGAGAGCTTGCAGGATGGATGCCAGTCAAGGAAATTTATTACGGGAAATGTGTGGCCAGTTAGACTTTCACTGTCTCCTTTACTCGAGTGCCATTGGGATAGACGCCTACTTGGGTATCCGTCTTAACCAAAATCTCGCTTACTGAGACCGTCTGAAGTTAATCTCCCCGACAGCATGGAAGGAACAGAATTTGTAGGGCAACACAGACGCGGCTGAGAGCACAGTCACAGCTATTGGTTACAAACCAGCCGGGAGTCAGTCGGCGCAGTATGTTTGTGTGTGTGCGTGTGTGTGTGTGTGTGTGTGTGTATGTGTGTGTGCCCATGCGGCTTCGGCTGCAGGGGTGATTTGAGTACGAGACTATCCCGACACGTCAAGCGTCGTGGATAGGAAGGCTGCTGATTGACGCCCTACTCGGTCCAAGCAGTTCGTCGCGTTGTGTGTGTGTGTTGTGTGAAGTGGCAGACTGGTGGGCTGGGGACGGGCTGAAACGGCACCTTCTACGACCCTCTCACGCAAGTGAGAGACACGCCGTCCAACCCCCGTTGTGTGAAATCCTGGTGTTTGTGTGCATGGGGGTCAGGTCCTGCACGTGGCGCACTTAGGCCTGGTCAGTCGACCATGACAGCCACCGCGCCCATTCCCCACTCCAGTCTGCTGACCGGCTCGGACAGCGACTGGGGTGTGGGAGTGGGAAGGGAGAGTGTGGTCGACGACTCAGCACACTTTCACCTCACTATAAACAATCTGACGCGCTTGAAGCTATCACGGTGCGCTAAAAGGTTGCCAACTGACGGGGTAACTTGGACCTCCTCCTTGACTGGTGGTGGTCTGAGAGTCAGGCTGCAATGGCTCCTTCTTAATGTGACCGTATGGCACTCTCACCACAGTGTAGGATCCGAGCCAGGCGTTGGCAGCATGCCTAGGTGCGGCTTCAGCCGTGCCAGCCTCCAAACCTGTCTTTTGCTGGTTGAAATCCTGGTCATTTGTTGTGTGGACCAGGGGGTGTGGTGGAACGCCAAGGTGAGGATCCGTCCGAACCATCCACCTGCGGTCTCCCTCGTCTCCGGTCTTCTTGACTCTGTCTCGACACCGGGCACAGGCGGGGGAGGAGGAGAGGGGGTGGTAGATGCAGCGCAAGTCACCGTCCCTGCTCCCACCGCTGCTGCAGCTGTGGGGCACACGGTGGACATCGTCGAAATGGACAGTCGAACTGTCGTGTGCGTGTGCGTGTTTGCTCCCCAAACGGGCGACGTGTTAGATGCTCTGGACCAACACAGCGGCCACATGGGATTCTGGCGGGCACTTCTGTTACTTGCGTGGAGTGTGCCCATCCCATGTCCTGTATGTGGGGTCACACCAATCAGTCCGACCAGAAAGTGAACAGCATGAGGTTTGGATGTCCTGAACGCAAGCACAAGGACAAATCGGGCACAAAAGCATTTTGAAATTGAATGTCGCTTTTCCAAAATTGAATATACGCATTATTCAAATAAAAGGCTTAACAAGGACGTGATTCATTACCAAAGGGGTATAAGGAAGATTATATTTTAAATTTCCCTTTTTAAAATATGCTTGCCTTTTGCGATACATCGAAATCAGTGGATAAAATGATGTCACCTATGTGCTCACAACCCAACCTAGGTATTTCTTTCTAACTGAGAACAAAAATTTGGAATTCCGGTAAACGTTTTGTGAGGCGTGCCACCTACTGTAAATGTTATTAAGCGTCTCAAATTACTTCCCTTCTTTTTGGTTGAAGTTCACAGGAAACAAAACTGCAGTAGGTTATCGGTTCATCTAAAAAAGCATAAATGTCCGCATTTATGAAACCCGCATCTGAGCATTTTTCGTTAAAATAAATTTTTAATGTGACTGAGATAGGGTTGGGAAATTCGCACTTTTGTCTGTGCATGTGGCCATGTTTGGTTAAATCTAAGACCCATTCTAAGAACCCGATGCCGGAGCTGCCCAAAGTAACTCAACAGTCCCAACAGTACTTCGACTGGGCAAGAAAATAATTAGTAGCCACCGCCCATCGGCACTCAAAGAGTCCGATTTCCCAACCAACCCCCCCCCCTCCTGAAAAAAAACACATGGACGCCCTAAATGCATTAGGGCGAGACGACAAAAGCCATCGTTGTTATCCTCAACATGGTAAACAATGCGACTGGAATGAATACTAATCTGCTAAAGGGGTTAGACAGACTTCATTGGGAGATGCCAGGGGGGAGGATGAGTCGGGAGCATGTGATGCCTCCGTGTACAAAAGGGGAAGCAAAGTCTTTTTGACAAAAAACACCCGTGTACAATGCAAAAGCAAGACTGTCTGCTTAAACCCACACAAAACTGCGCTCCCGGCGTCTGTGACCTACTTAGGAGTTTTATCAGCGACTCAACAGTGAGACTGATTTCCGGAAGGAGTAATTCACCCCAGCGTAAGCCAAAGTACCGTCTGACCGCGGACAGCTTATGGCGTGCAGCCTAAAGGATGTTTATTTTTAAATTTGCATAACAGATTGGGAATTATGATAACTCCAACAACTGCATGCTCCGCCTGGGGTGTAGAAAGTCTAGTTGCGAGGGCACACAGAATGAAACAGATGGTGGGCATAGATTTGGAAAACTCAGAGTTTCCGTTGTGACACGCTGTGAATCTGGTGGGGAGAGGGGAAAGGTTAGCTGGGGGCGCGAACCCCACTGGGGTTGCTGAATTTATTTCAACTAGTGTGATGTCCATTTGATGCAGCTAGACTTGTGCACATGCATACAGTTCACATTGGGGTTCCAGGATACCATACTGACAGCGTAGGTGCTAGCTGCATGACCCAGCTGCGAGGGGTTTTGGCCATCAGCGAGTCCCCCGGCGTCCCCTGCGTGCTTTCCGGCAGATACTCCTACGGGCATCCCCATGCCAGCCTTCAATGGCTGACAGAGCATTTGAGGAAAAGTTGGGCCGCGCCGTCAAAGGGTCCCGGCAGTCCGATGATGTCCACCGCGTGCACCACATAGTAGGCGCGGCGCCAGTCACTCGCGTATGTTTTACCTTGCTCCGATGGCAGGATAATGCCCAGACGGTAGGCGGGGGTGGGCGAGGGCGCAGCGGCTAATAGAGCTAGACAGTTCCTCTACGCGGACTGCACACACGACCAGGTCACCCGAAAAATATGCCGATTTTTCACTAGACAGGGGGAGAATCTGATCTCACGACCATGAGAGAGTCGCCGTGACCACACTGAGAAGGGAACATTAAGCCTTGTTCTCGATTTACTAACCAGCAATTGATACGACAGTTCTTCCGTCGTTGCCGGCGATGTCCACCGTGTGCTCCATGGCAAGGCGAAGTAGGCAAGGCGAATTGCGCGTGAGTTAGTTTGGAGTGACAGCAGACTTCCACAGCATCTGCCACATTCTCCTCCTCCTCCTCCTCCTCATCCTCCTCCTCCTCCTCCTCCGCCTCCTCCATCTTTCCCACCTGGACCCGGTGTGAAGACAGATTCAAGAAGACCGGAGGCGGAGGAGGGCGCAGGTGGATGGCAAGGTCGAGCCCGCACCTTGGCGCTCCACTGCACACCTCCTGGTCCACACCGCAGATGACCAGGCTCTTGACCAACAATGTCAATCGGGGAGGGGTCCCCGGGTGAGCTAGGACTGTCGACAACCGGCTCTGCCACCGCCCACCGAAATTTTGGCTCGGGAGGGCGCAGATGGATGCACTGCCGAGCCCGCACGTTGGCGCTCCACTCCATACCTCAGCAATTCCCACACACACACGCACAGAATTGATTGCAGAGAGTGGACTGCGTCTAACTAGGATATACGCTTCAAGCATATATCTCCATGTATGACTTTGAATAAAACAGTGTGACTATTATGGTGCCTTCTGACTCAGCCTACTGCGGCCCCATAGATCAGTCGCTGACGCACCACGTTTAGGCAACGATTTGATATGAAAGTTCCTGGTGCCTTCTTTTGTCTTCCTGTCGCCCTAAGGCATAATGGTATTCTAGGAAAATCATAGTTTTAGTGTTCAGCACCCCGACAGTACCACTACCCTCGTTGCCACGTTGACCGGGCACTCACCCGCAGATCGAATAGAGGACTGGGAACAGGCCTTGAACTAACACGAATCTTCTTACAAGCTGACGGGTCCAGACCCCCGCCAGTAGTTCGGAGGACCGTATCCCACACCAGATCGTAAGGACTCTTCTTGCACTCGCAACGAAGAGCCTGACCGCGTGAATTTCAGTGTCATACAGCGTCTGCTAGACCAGGAGACGTTAAGCCACATGGTACTCTAGTGAAGGCGACACAGGAAGCCAAAACTTCCGCAAACTTCCCGTAATACTGCGGGCCAAGTCGGTAATTTCGCTTGACTATGTTCCACCATGCGTTCTTTCACCAAAACCGGCTTGGCTGCGGCAGCTTCCAACCGCTTCACTGTCCTGACGAGTGCAACAACTGCCTTTAAGGCATTTGCCGGTGAAACAATCTGGGCTTAATCTACGCCAATCACTGCAATCTGTGTAGTTGTCCAACTGGTCCTGGGAATTTTGAATGTATTTTTCTCGACAGTTTGTTATCCTGCCAAAAGTGTTGCTGCACTCA